CAACTAATAATTAAAGCCTATTTGAAGGGTGTCAATTGCCTAGTAGAATTATAATTTATGTAAACTTTTAACAACTTTAATATTCACCTCGTCATTAGGCCTAGCCAACCTCTTATGGTTTTGTAATATTTGGTAGCCAAGTAATACAAGGTAGTCCAGTATAAACCAGAATGGAAACTTTTATTCTGCCAAACACTTTACAGCCTCGCCAGTAGCCATACTGGAACAACAACAACAACCCAGAGGGCAGCACAACTATGTACCAACTAAACAGGCAATACGCCAATCCTACATCCCCTTATTTGGTGTGGATTTACAATACTGTTAATAAGCTCAAACGAGACTGTAAACTGAACAACTATTAAAAATATGATTACTTTAAGATTACCACTAAAATTCTGATTACTTATTATTTATGAACTGACAGTTCATGTTACATAATCTCTGTACTTCCCATTCGGTTTAACTGTTCTTCCACTACGGGTCATCAACCTTGTTAAAGTTGCGATTTCTCCTGACCTTTCCTTTGTCAGTTTGGACTTCATAAGAGCGCGGCTCTGCTCGCTTTGCTACAACCATCCCTTTACATTTTTGGTCCCTGACATAAACAAACTCTCCTTGTTGTAGCTCTGGCAAGTTTCTGGCATTATGTCGCCTATTAAACTGCGTTGCTTGATTTTTCGCGATAATGGTGCTCACGCTCCGCTACATTTGACTTGTCCGGGACTGCAGTTAGTTGGGCATCTATTGTAGGCAACTGAGTACGAAGTCTTCTATTCATTAATAGCTCACTTGGCGATTTTCCATTCTGAAGAGGAGATGAACGGTACGATAATAATGCTAAGTAAGGATCATCGTTCTTCTTCAAAATCGCTTTTGCAGTTCTGACCGATCTTTCGGCTTCTCCATTCGCCTTAGGATCTCGTGGACTGCTAGTAACATGTACGAAATTCCAGTTTCGTGAAAAATATCTGAACTCCTTTGAGCTGTACTGCGGACCATTATCAGAGACAACCGTGTCTGGTATTCCATGGACAGCGAAGAGCTTCCGAAGTATGTCAATGATACCGCGAGATGATGTATCTACTAGCTGTTCTATAGCGATCCATCGAGAATAATAGTCCACAACAAGTAGGTATTCTCTATTTCCATAGTTAAACAAATCTGTTCCAATGTGTTCCCATGGGCGTGAAGGAAACGACGAAGGCAACAGTGGTTTAACTTTTGGTGGATTGTATTCATTACAAGTGTCACATGTCTTCAATCATTGCTGACATGCCAGGCCACAAAATAGAAATAGCGGCACGTCCACGGCACTTCGAGATTCCAAGATGTCCGCGGTGAATTTTCCTGAGCATATCAAGTTGCAAGTCTCTTGGTACCACTATTCTGTTATCATACAGAATCAAATCATCCACAATCGAGAGATGATGACGATGTTCCCAATGTTTCCCCATAAATAGTGTATCAGGCCTGTATGGAGGCCAACCATTCTTGCAGTACTCATAGATTTGGGTATATTCAGCGTCGCTTCGCTGTGCTTCCTTGATCTCCCTTAGACGAGTAGGAGTCGCTGGTAAACTGTCATTCGCAGCCTTCGCAAATGTTTCAACTTCCTCAATTTGTATCAAATCACCTTTCGTAGGTAGATCCACCGGAGCTCTCGAAAGCGCATCGGCGACCACCTGATTCTTGCCTTGGACATATACCACTGTTGTACTATACCGCATAAGTCGAAGTCGGAGGATTCCTGGAGGTAGTTTCGCTAGCTCCTTACTCATCAACAGACTGATCAGAGGCTTATGATCTGTTTCTACCTGAAAGTCCAATCCCATGACGTACTCCTGGAATTTTTCACAACCCCAAACTACCGCTAGTGCCTCTTTTTCTATGATCGCGTAGCGTTGTTCTGTATCTGTGAGAGTACGCGAAGCATGAAAGGCAACTCGTCTTGATCCATCAACCTAGACTTGGTACAAAACTGCGCCAATGCCGTACTTGCATGCATCAGTAGCAATGATAGTTGTTCTTGTGGGGTCATAATGAGCTAGGACCGCTGGTGAGACTAAAATGTGCTTAAATTGTTCAAATGCAGTTTGGTGTTTATCACCCCAAGTCCACACAGTGTCCTTACAAAGTAACTGTCGCATTGGTGCACTGATGTGTGCCAATCTTGGGACAAATTTCCCCAGATGTTGTACCATTCCTAGAAATCTGCGTAGTTCAGGGACGTTGCGCGGAACTGGGTACCTAGTAATGGCTGTGACCTTTTCGTCATCTATCCTAACCCCAGCACCGTTAATGATGTGACCCAAAAATTTAACCTTGGTGCAATGAAAGTCGCACTTTTTAGAGTTAAGTGTGACACCTGCATCTCGCAAGCAAGATAAACATAACTTAACACATGTGGCATGATTTGCTACGCTGCTATGAATCAATATATCATCCATATGGCATATCACAAAGTCGAGATCACCTAGTATACGGGAAACTTCCCTCTGGAAGATTTCCGGAGCCGAAGCTATACCAAATGACATCCTATTAAATTGATACCTCCCAAAAGGTGTAATAAAAGTTGTGTACTCTTTTGACTCTTGGTCAAGTTTGACTTGCCAAAACCCGCTGTTTAAATCAAGTTTAGTAAACATTGTACTACTAGATAATGTAGCCAAATATGAGTCGACATTGCCCATTGGGTGTATTTCACGTTTAACAGGTTTATTGAGGTGTGTCAAGTCCACACATATCCGCACAGAACCATCTGATTTAGGGACACATACTATTCCAGAGCACCAATCTGTAGGGTGATTTATGGGCGAAATGACACCGTTGTCAACCATTTTCTGAAGGGAATTTTTAACCTTAGGTAATAATGGGTGTGGGATTCGTCTAGGTGCATGCACACATAAAGGTGTGCCGTCGTCTTTCAACGTGATCTTACATTCTGTGTTCTTAAACTTCCCTAGCCCCTCAAACATGCCCTTATACTCAGGATACATCTCCTGAGTGAAATCCTTTGTGACCTCGTTCACTCGGGTAATTAAACCAAGACCGACACTGGTCTTCCTACTGAGGAGTGGGCATTTCTGGTTGTCAATAACAAACAGGTGATCATAAATAATTGTATCACCTATACCTGAATGTTACATCTACAACCCCTGTAGAAGATCGACATACCCTTTGGTAATGGCCTATTTTA